GAAAGTGGAGCTGTCGGTAAATAAATGTGTTTAGACATGGCAGATCACGGCCATCGGACGCGGCCTTGACAAAAATACTGACCTTACCAATGGGCATACGAATGACGCCATTCTTGTCACCTTTCCACTCTGTAGTGCCAGAAAGTCGCCGCAAGTAGCCGGCAAAATCATCCGTAACTGTCCCTCGACGCTCGGAAGGCATCAAACCACGCGGGCCGAGGATACGTCCGAGTTTTGGGGTGATGGCCCGAATGAGGGCTGTGGAGCATAGAATGGTGGTTGCATGATGTTTGCCGCTGATTATACCATCTGCTAGCTCAATTCCACCGACAATGTGTGCACCTGCGCTCTTTGCCTCGTCTGCCTGACGGCCCTCAGCAAATACAAGGATGCGGTCTTCGGGCCGAGCTTTAGTTTCACGATGGAGAGCAATACGGCCCTTTGGAATAATAGATCCGCGGGACATGGCAGTCTTGATTACCAGCTCGTATGTAGCATTTGCTTTAGCAACTTCAACCGCCTGCCGAGATCTTTGGTTAATGAGTTGTAAGAAGGCTCGGGGGACATACACGGATCACGTCAATAGCGCTTTCAAGAGTCATTTTCTCATTCTCGTATATGTGCTTGCGAGCCTTCGCTGCACGCTTTCTTGCCTTTGCTGCAAGGGCTTTCTTGGAGAGCACCGGAATCTTTTTCGTTCGCCGTAGGGCTAGGATAGGTGTTGAAGAAAATTCTCGAACGAGGGCTGGGCGCTGCACAACTTCAGATCAGACCATTTCAGACAAGTAGGTACTTACTGGACTAAGAACTGAATGGCAACATTGCCGACAGAGCAGCCCAAGGGAGAAGGACATGTTCTGTTCAGTCAGCACAGTTGCCGGTTGCTCTTGAGAATTTCAAGTAAAGCAGCCGTGGGAAAATGAACAAAGTAATGAAATTTGTTGGCCTCACCGTTCACTTCACTGTCGCGCGCTGCAGGTCATGTCGGTCTCATTTTTGAAATCGAACAGCAAGCCGTTCCAATTGCGCGGAATAGTTGCGCGGCTTTATTCAACTCGCAAGGGCGAGGTGTCTTCTTCCGACCCACAAAAAGATACCATCCGCCGTTACTTGTACCCTCCGAACATCCGCAATAAAGCCTCTCCTACTGGTACATGGCGCCCTGATGTCGCACGCGCTCTCCAGCGCGCGATTCCCTCTGTGCAAGCGCACGAGACTATTGAGCGCGCTTGGCTCCTCCATCAGAGACACCTACGCAAGAAACGGGACGCGGAGTTGCAGCGCAAATTTAATTGCATGAGACAGGCAATGCAGGAACTGGAAGAGATTGACTCGAGGCTGTTTAGGGAAGCAAACAAGCAAGAGGATCCAAGAGCGAGGAGCTTGGCTGAGGTGGAAGCTATGAAGAGTATGTCTGAACCGGAGAAACGAGCTGTCGAGTCCAGAGTGAGGGGTTTGTTCCCTAGAGAACTCCGCATACCAACAGATACACCGCCGAAGAATGGCTGGCCTAATGAATGGAGGGCATTCCAGAGGCCCTTGGCATGAGTATGTCCATCACTTTTGGTGTAGGCAGATATTAATTGCATCATCTCGCAGGCACAGTCACAGGACGCTTCCATCGTTATCAGGAGGTGCATACGTAGAGCATGTGATCGGTCTCTTTGTTTGTTGAGACCTTACGATGTGCCATATATTTGCCGGCTACGAGTGCTCACAATTTTGTCAGGTCTATAGGAGTTTGTTATGAATTTAGTGGGTCTCAACCACTCATGACGCATTTATCGCATATGGCGCTTTGTCGGACATGCCGAGATTTGCCTTGAGGAAGCAACTAACGTCCTTGACGTTGAAGGGAAAGCTCTTTACTCACCCCCACTCTTATGTGGAGGTAGCGCCGGCAATCATATGGTCTTGGCGATGTGCTGCTACTTCATTCACTTAACTTTGAAGCTTGCTAGCGATGTACCTGCCAGATTTATCCAAAATCTGTGTGCGTGTCTCGTGTGGTGAGTCCAGTCTTTTTGGCGGAAACACTGGAGCATTATACCCTGTGTGCAAGCTGATTCCGTTATGCACTCGTTACTATCCGAGCACGATTCACGTCTTAATCGTGAAATTGCTGGATCCTACAGGTCAGGTAACTTGCGCTCAGAATGTTATCAGGTATTATGCACATTGCTGCCCAAATGTTGTGTTCACGTCCCACTAGCCTCTTGGCAGTGAGAGCAGACTTGAGGTTATCCTCCCTTGACGAGGCGGCTGGTTCATGAAACTGTGCGCCTCACTTGCTGAGCATTTCAGTTTCCGAATCTATCATAGCTATTTGAGCGTCTCCGCGTCTCTTCATATCCTTCATGGTCAATCTACCCCATTATCCAGGATTCTGATGAGAATTAATATAACACTGTTCGAATATGAATATAACTTTGAGCCAACAAGTCTTGAATCCGCCTTCCAGGAATCCAGTAACATTTGTTCACGTTCAAATGACAATGCTGTGCACTTTCAATACAGATTGCATTAAGGGGAGAACTTGTGACTTTGCGTATAGCGCGCCACCTCAACACGAAGCTGCACACGTCCATCACTTCGTCGTTTACTGCATCCCTTTCATAACTTAAATTCACGATGGATGACGATGATGCCGATTATATGCAGGGCAGTGATGATGAGGTCGCACTCCCTTCAAGATCAGCCCCTTGGACGTTATGCTGACCCCGAGCTATTTTACAGGATTACGGCTTCGACTACTCTGATGGAGACGAGGCTAACGAATCAGGAAGTGCCGATGTAGAGAACATGTACTATACTGCAAAATGTGGGTAATCCAGTGTACAGCAGAAGTTGTTGATGCATTTCTTCTTCAAGCGAAGAAAGAAGATACTCCAGAGGAAGCACTAAAAGATTTTCGTACTATAGTGGACCAGGAAACAGAGAAAGGCGACTGGTATAGTTTCCTTGCCCATTGATCAAACTGTATGCTAACGGTTACCTCCCAGGGGCTTCAAGGCTCTGAAGCAATCTACCAAACTCCTCTTCCTACAGCTACACCGGCCAGCGGATGCCTTGAAGACCTACATACAGCTCCTCACTTATACCAAGTCTGCAGTCACACGAAATTACTCTGAGAAGACCATCAATGGCATCCTTGATTATGTTGGTGGTGGGAAGAGTGGCCCCGTCGAGGTGGATGTACTAGAAAAGTTCTACCAGGTAACCAAAGATGCGCTTGAAGAGGCAAAGAATGATGTGAGTACTGTAATGGTGCAATATACTTTTTGAATCATTGGTGTTCCTTCTAGCGTCTGTCTGTCAAAACGAACTTGAAACTGGCGAAGCTTTGGCTAGATCGAAAAGAGTATGGACGTTTGACGAAGGTACTCATCATTTATCTTCGTATATATGTATATGACCTCAACAGTCTCTACCAACCAGCTCATCCGCGACTTGCACGCCACGACCAAGGCTGCCATGGATAGCGAAGACCAGTCGCAACGGGGAACACAGCTCCTCGAGATCTATGCACTCGAGATTCAAATGCACAATGAGATGCGTAACGTCAAGAAACTCAAGGTACAGCCTCATATCCCACTCAATCATTCAGACCTAATCAAATTGCCGAACATAGGAAATATACAATGCATCCAATAGTGTGCGTTCTGCAATTCCACATCCACGGATCATGGGTGTTATCAAGGAGTGCGGAGGCAAGATGTGGATGGGAGAAAGTGACTATTGTTCACCCTGCGATCCTCACTCATGTCTAACGCTATCGTAGGACAGTGGAATCGTGCATCGGAAGACTTTTTCGAGTCCTTCCGCAACTACGATGAAGCCGGCTCGCCGCAACGCATCCAGGTCCTCAAGTACCTTGTCCTCGCAAACATGCTCACTGGATCTGAAGTCAACCCATTTGACTCCCAGGAGACAAAGCCGTACAAGAATGACTCACAGATTAAGGCAATGACTGACCTTGTAGATGCCTATCAACGCAGAGAAGTTCACTTGGCTGAGAAAATCTTACGAGGTAAAGCCCTTCATGTATCCAATGCACTGTACTCAACGTGACAGCAGATAATCGGTCAACGATCATGGATGACCTATTTATCAGATCATATATCGGCGAACTTCTGCGTAGTCTGCGCACGTCCTACTTGATCGACCTCATCAAGCCTTATACGAGACTGGAGCTTTCGTTCCTCGCCAAAGTAGCTGTTTCGATCCTTTGCAACTATCTTTGATGCTAATAGCCATTTAGCAACTTAACGTTGAAATTGCCGAAGTCGAGGAACTCCTTATTGGGCTTATTCTCGAGGGAAAGGTTGATGGTCGAATTGACCAAGTCGGCATGCGCCTTGAACTCGACCAAAGGTGAGCAAATCGCTGTTTTATACACCCCATACTGATTCAATCACAGCCATGCACTGGAGAAGAAGCGTTATACCGCACTTGAGAGGTGGACAGAAGCCCTGGAGGGCTTGCACTCCACTGTGGCAGCGAAGACAGCTGCTGGAGCAAGAGGAGATCCGATGATGGGCATGCCGCCTGAGCGGTTCCCTCCTGACTTTGGAGGCGCGACGACGACCGGGTTCTAATTAATGCCTCGTAGAAGTCCTGACGATGTGCCTTATGATTGCATTCTCGATGTTTCCCGAAGCTTTTCATAAGTTAGACTGTATTTAAGACTGACACAGCTTGACGCTGCAGTTGTGTGGCATTGCCCAATCCATACACTTCAAACCAAACCACTGACAAACGATCTCACAAGGTCGACACCAGTCCCCGTTAAAAAGTGTAGCACTTCGGTTTTGTTCACATGTGGACAGGAGAGCTCTGCTGGCGGCGGACGACAGCAAATTGAGATCTTGCCATAAGACAATCCACGAACCATTGTTTGTGGATGTCAGTGAAGTCTAATATACACACCATAATAACTGTTGTTTGGGGCAGAGCCGGCGTGTCATGTTGACCGTTCATTGCATTTTGAAGGATCGAGCTTCAAAGCTTCAAGGATCAGTCACCAGAACCTTGGCTAATATTATAGAAACCGTTTCAGCATTACAAAACGATGACGGCGTGATAACTATAAGAACGACGTTATTAGCAGCAACGTAAAGCATGTTCGAGTGATAAGAAGCAACCATATGTTAAATTTATGATATACAAGTTGACAGGGAGTCGACAGACGACGAGTGAAGATTTAAACTGGGCATAATGTGAAACGCGGCGCACTGGGCGTTGAAAGCGAGATTCCTTACCACGAATAACAAAACGACCTTCGACGTGACGCGAGTCAGGAAACGCGAATAAAAGAACGCTGGATAACGTACGATAATAAATGTCATCAGTTTCCGACGCCTGATACAAAGTCCACCACCTGCTTCTGGGACCCCCGCCGCCTCTAGAAGATTCGGAGCAGTTTCCTCTTGCTCCTCATTATCAGGCTGCGCCTGAAGAGTAAGTAAGGCTACAAGAGGGTGGAGAGGCAACGTGCGAGATTGAGAACGTTGAGGGTGTCCTCGTATTCGGTGTTGTGGTTGCTGAGCTGGTCGTCGATATGCTTCACAATGAATATGTTCACAAATAGCATTGTACCGAGGGTCGCATGGCTCATCAGCAAAGCGTCATTCTCCTCAATGATGTACTGAAAAGAAGGGTTAATAATGGCACTAGAAAAACGTTCTCAAGGGCTCACCGTTAGAATTTCACGCTGGCTCAGGCCCACCCGAGGGTACGGGTGGTAACGAAGCATGTGAGAGGATCTATACGAAGGCAATCTCATTTTGACGGTCGAAATTTATTTCGAACAAGAGAAAGCGAGGGGAAAGTGATGTGGTTTGGGCTAGGCTCAGGCATTGGGATTTTAATACCAGCAGAGGGTCGGGGACGTAACATAAAAAAATTGAGAGGCGGGCACTAGCACCCCAAATTCGCGATGCTGAGTTAGTGCCAAAATAAGTGGCGAGCGCCTGTTCCTGCGCAAACCCAAACATTGAATTTTGCTTCAGCGGAACCAATCCCCAAGGTATCATCATTCGACAATGGCTAAATCCAAAATCCACCGTCAATAGCACGAAAAAAGAGGCACGGAGCTGGGTGTAAGAAAGATAGCATATCTGTAAGCTTTGGCACCTTTGCCAGCTTGGCACTCGTAGGTCCTTCATGTTGGTATAGACTTTGCTTCCGCTGGACCAATTTTCCAGGCATATGATCATGGTTGGGGATGACAACTAGCCAGAGCCAGCCATTGATAGCACCAATGCGAGGTACAGGAACTGTGAAATGGATTGCTAGGTTGTCCCATCACATCAACAGACCAGCATTGTAGGACCTGTCAGACCTGCAACCCAAGTTGACACACCATTGACTTCAGTGGCATATTCAACCTCTTGGATTCTGTGCAACATAATAAGAATTACCTTGCGGAGCAAGGTCTATCACAATGCAGTGTGATATGTAATAGTGGTATTCAGGATAAATCTTGAAGCTCGGTTAAAATGTCTTGAAAACTCGGCTACTCTAACAAAACACAGCCATGCAATACCTGCAATTGAAAGTCAGTCTGTTGGAGTTTAGAAACACATGCCTGCTGTTAGTCAATGTGCTCACTGGTCTGCACAACTTCAAGCCAACACCCATCTGCGCTTGAGGGGAATGGATGACCCCCCCCCCCCCCCTCCATCCAGTTCATCCATTCGATCTGTCTCAAGTGATCCTGGACCCAGGATCACAGTTCAGTGGGGGAAAGAAGATGCTCTTACTGATATCCTTGTAGATCACATAACATCTCACCCTGCTGATAGTTGCATTCTCTTCTATTCCAAGGGTAAGAAAATGGCTTCTACTGATGGTGAACAGGCATCAGGCAAGGACAAGAGCAACATCTATGTTGTCCTTGCCAAGCTCATATTTGCCAATCATGCCAAATATGGCACTGGAACCATCAGAATCCAAAGAAATTTTGCAATTTAGTCACAAACCACATTGTGGGATATGTAGTCTCCTATTTATACTTACATATGTATGCTGATCAATGCTTAAATTCTCAGTCTCAAAGTTAGATACAAAAAACTCAAGGCTAGATTAGGTGCCACTGGAGCTGGTATACTACCTGGTGACAAGCACATGAATCTGCAGTGAGTCCTCTGTTGCTAATTTTTTGCCCTTGTCTGACTTCATTTTTGTAGTTGAAATTTGTGCTGAATGGAAGTGGTTTGTGGACCTTGATGGTATCTGTCACTTGAGCCCTGTGTTTGCAGTGGTGTCACACTCCTTGAGGCTAGGTGTTGATCACACTGGTCAGATGTATGCACTTGTGCAACCATCATGTGGTGCAACTGCTGGTGGGACCTTGAGACATGCACCAGGTGCCACTCAGCCCCAGCCCCAGCCCCAGCCCCAGCCTCAGACTTCCTGCAGCATGAGCACTCAGTCCCTTGGCAGCAATCCTCTGATTGACCCATGTCTTCTCCAACCTTCACCTCCTCTCCCTGATACCCCTTCACCCACTGGCCCTGATGTTGCTACTGGTCCCCCTCTGCCCAATAATTATATTGGTCCTCCTGCTGCTCACCACACCCCCCTCCTCATTTTGACCCTCCACAGGCCCACCTTCACAGCCTCTCTTGCACTGATGACCTGCATCATTCTGATCCCTTTGCATCACCCCTTGGTGATGCTCTGGACCACCTGCAGGACAATGTCATGATGCAGGAGGGGGAGGAGGATGATGATGACTTGATGCAAGATGACATGATGGGCTACAATAGTCCCCTGAAAGTTGCAGGGAAAAAGTGGTGCAGTTTTGTATTGCCCTTGCCATCTCCCCCTCCTGACCCACAGCCATTCCACATGCCCACAAAGGCACCTACCAACCCTTACCACAGTCATGCTGCATTTGGTCAGCTGCCCATCCAGGGGCATTACAAACTGCTGTCGATGTTGTGCAACTTGTTGACTCCTTCATCCACAACTTGTAACATGACCCCATCATCTTCTTCAACCTCACAGACATTGGTATCAGCCCAACTGGATAGTGGCAAGAAGAAGAAGAAAGCTAAGTCAGATGTGCAGGATCAGGTGGAGAATTTGATGGAGGAACTTGAGAGCATTCAGTCTGACATCATGTCCCTTTGGGACTCCAAGTATCAGTGGTTCATTGTGAAGCTCTTGGTGAAGAGTGAAAATCAGTGGGAGACCAAGAAATACAACTGGCTTTGTGATACATGTGCACATGAGGCATCTCAAGCTGTCCTCACCCATTAGTGAGAGCAGGAGATCAGAGCCACAGAAATTTGCCTTCATGAAGCCAACATTTGAGTGCACAAGGCACACTCCACTGTTCTTGACAAGGAGGCAGAGACCTTGCATCTTTGGATTCAGTATCAGCAAAGATGTAGGGTAGTAGCAGGAGCACTTGAGTATTTTGTCATCACCATCATTTTGTCATTGTCATCTTATCTTCATCATTGCCATCTCATCATCATCTTCTCATCACTGTTGTTGTCATCATTGATGTCTCATCACCATCACCACTGTCATTTTTTTAGTGTCTTTGTTGTGTCATTGTTTTGTTGTGTTGTTACATGTTACATACATCTTACTTTACAAGTGTACTACTAGTAGTACTTTAATATGAGCATGAGTTACCCTTCCCTCCACTGTGCACTTGATTGAGGACTGTCAAAAAGCTGATCCATTAGCTTTGCACGAGTGATCTGACCAGGAGTTCCTTTATATGACCTGTCGCCCACAATATCATTACCATCTGGACCCTTGACATCTTGAGGAATGAAATCTTGACCCTCTTTACAAGCCCACTTCAGAGTGCTTGCATATGTTCCATCCTGCTTGTGACACTGAGTTTTGAAGCAGATGATCATGTTGTGGAGAATTATGCAACACTTGATCCACTGCACACAAAAATTCAGATCATTCTCTTTCTGAATCTTGAACTGCAGCTCTTGAAGAGACTGGAACTGCCCCTTTAAAGCAGCAAACATGTGTTCAACACATACATGAATCTAAATAAATTTAAATTATTTGAAAAGCTGCCATAAAACAAATAAATACCTTAGATAGATGATAATTGAATGTTCTCTGGTCTTTTGTCAACTGTCCATTGTGTGGTTTCTTGAAAGGGGCAATACACCATGGCTCCAAGGGATATGCACTATCTGCCCAAACCCAGTGGCCATCAGGAAGAAGATCATCATGCTCCTCATAGAGGCAAGTGGATTGAAAGGTGAATGCATCATGAACACTCCCTGGATGTCCAAGAGAATAATCCACAATCAAGAGATTGTGAGGCATAATAATTGCCTAGAATTAAATTAAATTATCTGCCAAAAAAAAATAAGAAAGAACACTTTACCTGCCAACCAAGGGAGTAATTGGATTTCCTGTCAAAAAACACCTCCCCATAATAGCCAGGTTTGGTGAAAAGTTCAACTGTTGAGCTATTGATGGTGAGATAACCACCCCTCCACTCCAGACATGTCTTTACCTCAGCAAATTTCTGAGCAAGGTGGGCATCCTCAGAATTATCTTCCAGAAAGGAGATAAACTGATTGTGCACTTCAAGCAGTGCCACCATCACACAATTAGTGCAATTGACCACTGACCTGACACTTACACCTGCCCATTGAGCAACATCCTCAACAGTAATGGTGTTGCCATAATGGCCAGCACAATTGAGAAAGATGGCAAGCTGGATGGAGACAGGGAGCTGAGGATTGTTGGAGTTGTTCTGAAAGATAGGGTGATCAGAGATCTGATTGAGGATATTGTTGAAGATCTCTGGATTAATGTGGAGTTTCTGCTGAAACAATTCAGGGTGATGTTCCTCATGGTGAACTAGCATGTGAAGTTGAGGAGCTTGTGGCAGAGACTCATCAGGCTTGTGGATTACATGTACCCTCTGAACCTCATCATGCAAAGCATCGATGGTGTGTTGGAGCCTATCATAATGGATGGCAATCTCATCTTCATTGCTAGAAGAATCAGAGGAGCCAGAGCCAGAGAGAGAGGCCATTGAGGAGGGTGGGGTTAGGAAGCTGTCTGTGACAGACATATTGGTGTCATCATCATTGGTAGAAAGCCAGTCAGTGTCTGAATCAGAGCCAGAGTCTAAGTCTGACAAATCATTAAGCAGTTCATTCTGGAATTGTAACTTGGCTAGTGCAAGGGCAGCCTTGTTAACAGCATTGAGGAGCTCTTTGCATGCAGATGTGTGAGGCATACTGAGGTGGGATTCAAGGGGATCAAAACTCCTATTCATTTGCATTTGGTGCCATATGTGACATTGAATGTGGCAGAGTTTTAATTTTCAGAAATTTCTGATGTTTCATCTCACACTGAGTGCATTGTTGTTGTTGACCTCACATCCTTGATGCTCACCTGCAGGACTGAGCAGGACATCATGCTTCAAGTTTCTGGGTACCATCCACCCAAAGTAAGTGATTTTTTTACCTATTGAAAGTTGTAACTAACATATACCCTTATCTTACAGGATATCTATTCTAGTCCAGGTTCCACACACATCCCACCTTTATTGGTGAGCCACTCATCCACTCATCTTGTGGCACCATCAACAACTATGATGAATTGTATCCTTTGCAGTGGTGGGAAGACCCAAGTGCATACATCAGATCCTTGGAAGCTGACAATGAAGAGGCAGGTTGCACCACCTTACACCATATCTTTATTGGTGAGTCACTTGTCTGCTTGTCTTGTGGCACTGTCGACAACTATGATGAATTATATCCTTTGCAGCGGTGGGAAGACCCAAGCATGTACATCAGATCCCTGGAAGCTGAAGATGCAGAGGCAGGTTGCACCACCCAGCACCTCCCTCCCTCCAACTCATCCTACATTCTACTGTGCCCCCCCTCTCAGGCTGTGTGTGAGCTCATCTTTTGACCTGCTTACACAATACTTATGGTTCCATGACTGTGCCCGCCCCCAGTTTATCTCACCCAGCACTTATTTTGTTCCACCCAGTACTCACTGATTCCATGCTTGTGGAGTGTTTTTTTTTACAATTTCATTGACACTATCATTTGCAATACAAAGTCTATTGGATATACCCATTGTCTTAATAACTGAGGGTCTTATATAAATGTGTGTAAAATGCAATGACACCACAATTACACTAGGATAAGACTTCTTGCCAGTCCTTGATTAACACAGTCTACAACTTTTCTTCTTTTGTGGTAGATAACGTGTGAGTTCTTGGGAGGCTCGCTAAACCAATCTATGTGATTAACTTAGCTGGAGCTTTTGTGTTATATCCCAACTTATAAACTTGTCTAGGATAAACTGTCTAGACACTGGAACATGGTTCCTCGTTAAGATAATTCTCTGTAGAGACTACAGTCTCAAATATGAATATGTTGACCAAAGACTGGTTGGTCAAATAGGCACAGAGTGGTGAGAAACTGGTCTCACAAATGAACAGATTGACCAAAGCTTGTGTTGGTCAATATCAGAAAACTAGGTGAGAAGCTGGTCTCAAATAAACTAAGTTTCTATTGTAAGAAACTTATGTAATCTCAAGGGAATGTCTTTTCCCTGCACTTTGTACTTCAAAGGGGCTTTCTTTGTAAGCAACAATCTTCACAGTGAGTAGCTCAAACTGAGATTCAAATGATTGCAAGTGGGAGATCCTATTTTTTGGGGGAGAGAATGGGCCCTCCTTATATACATTTTGTGTGGGAATATTATGTAAGTAAAAAAGCGGAGCAATGACATCAGAAGTGGAGCAGAATATTCCAGAAAGTGGAGCAGAACATTCCAGAATATTCCATAGGTGGAGTAATGACATCAGAGATGAGTCATTGTGGAGCAGAACATTCCAGGACAAATGACATCATAACTTTCAACAGAATACTTGCAGGAGTATCTGTGAAGCCATATGACATCATTATGACATCATACCCTGTAGGTACAATTTTGTGAAGTATCTGATGGGTCAGAGCATCCCAATAGAAAAATAAATCAAGGAAATACTAGAGAAAACAACTCAGAAATAATAATACAATAACAAGACACAAAACACAGGCTTTTTAGATAGGTTTTTGTAGGCTTTGAACTTTTCTCTATGGTTTTCTCTAGCCAAAGTGAATAAGCCAAAGGCAAGGCAATACCTTAACCTTCTTGCTTCACAATATCAACTAGGTCATTATGTGATTCCCATCTCACAAATGACTTTTCTTCAAGATATAATAAATTCATGAATCACAGAGGGGAAACTGAACTATTTGACCAAGGTTTGAAACCAAGGTATGGGTTGACTAGCCTGATGCCTAAGCTAACAGACTTTGTCTTTTTAGGGGGCTACCTAGTAGTCATGTCCATGCATGATTCCCAAATCATGCAGGACACTGTCTGAGATCCTGTGCCTATCCCCATTTAGGCATCTCTGCCTTTCTGGTTCTCAGTTATCTCTCTTTCCATCTTGCTGATTGATCCTTGCACTAGTTTCATCTCCAAGTTCATTTACTTATGTTCCGTCTTATTTACCAATGTGTTTCCGCATGCTCGTACATAACCTTACTCCTTTGCTTACTGATCCTCTTGGATAGCCTCTAGTATATAACCCCTGTACAACTACAGTAGAGTCCTCAGTCTGAATATCACCTTAGACTTGCCCAATCTTCTTCCAGACTTCAGTCCATCTGAGTTTGTCCTTTTCCATAAGGCCTAGGGATGGATTCCCTAGGCCTGTTAAGAACCATGCTCAAAGGAGAGAGAGACTGACTCAGAGGGGCTTGGCCTCAGCTCGTACACTGTGCCCCTTACCCAAGTATGTGCCCGTCATTTCAGAGGAAGTCCAATGATGGTCCAACAAAGTCCGGAGGACTTCTGGAGGCTGGCTACTCTGGTGGAGAGTGCAGGAGGACTTCCAGAGGAGCGCAGGAGAGTTCTGGAGGAATGCAGGAAATGCTCAGGAGAGTTCCCGACTGAGGACTCTACTGTAGTTGTACAGGGGTTATATACTAGAGGCTATCCAAGAGGATCAGTAAGCAAAGGAGTAAGGTTATGTACGAGCATGCGGAAACACATTGGTAAATAAGACGGAACATAAGTAAATGAACTTGGAGATGAAACTAGTGCAAGGATCAATCAGCAAGATGGAAAGAGAGATAACTGAGAACCAGAAAGGCAGAGATGCCTAAATGGGGATAGGCACAGGATCTCAGACAGTGTCCTGCATGATTTGGGAATCATGCATGGACATGACTACTAGGTAGCCCCCTAAAAAGACAAAGTCTGTTAGCTTAGGCATCAGGCTAGTCAACCCATACCTTGGTTTCAAACCTTGGTCAAATAGTTCAGTTTCCCCTCTGTGATTCATGAATTTATTATATCTTGAAGAAAAGTCATTTGTGAGATGGGAATCACATAATGACCTAGTTGATATTGTGAAGCAAGAAGGTTAAGGTATTGCCTTGCCTTTGGCTTATTCACTTTGGCTAGAGAAAACCATAGAGAAAAGTTCAAAGCCTACAAAAACCTATCTAAAAAGCCTGTGTTTTGTGTCTTGTTATTGTATTATTATTTCTGAGTTGTTTTCTCTAGTATTTCCTTGATTTATTTTTCTATTGGGATGCTCTGACCCATCAGATACTTCACAAAATTGTACCTACAGGGTATGATGTCATAATGATGTCATATGGCTTCACAGATACTCCTGCAAGTATTCTGTTGAAAGTTATGATGTCATTTGTCCTGGAATGTTCTGCTCCACAATGACTCATCTCTGATGTCATTACTCCACCTATGGAATATTCTGGAATGTTCTGCTCCACTTTCTGGAATATTCTGCTCCACTTCTGATGTCATTGCTCCGCTTTTTTACTTACATAATATTCCCACACAAAATGTATATAAGGAGGGCCCATTCTCTCCCCCAAAAAATAGGATCTCCCACTTGCAATCATTTGAATCTCAGTTTGAGCTACTCACTGTGAAGATTGTTGCTTACAAAGAAAGCCCCTTTGAAGTACAAAGTGCAGGGAAAAGACATTCCCTTGAGATTACATAAGTTTCTTACAATAGAAACTTAGTTTATTTGAGACCAGCTTCTCACCTAGTTTTCTGATATTGACCAACACAAGCTTTGGTCAATCTGTTCATTTGTGAGACCAGTTTCTCACCACTCTGTGCCTATTTGACCAACCAGTCTTTGGTCAACATATTCATATTTGAGACTGTAGTCTCTACAGAGAATTATCTTAACGAGGAACCATGTTCCAGTGTCTAGACAGTTTATCCTAGACAAGTTTATAAGTTGGGATATAACACAAAAGCTCCAGCTAAGTTAATCACATAGATTGGTTTAGCGAGCCTCCCAAGAACTCACACGTTATCTACCACAAAAGAAGAAAAGTTGTAGACTGTGTTAATCAAGGACTGGCAAGAAGTCTTATCCTAGTGTAATTGTGGTGTCATTGCATTTTACACACATTTATATAAGACCCTCAGTTATTAAGACAATGGAGGGTGGGAATAGGTCTGGAGATAGTAACAGTTAATATCCGGAGGTCCAGAGATCTGGGGATCCAGAAGACAGGGCAGAAACAGGACCGAGATATGTGAGGTGGTGGATGTAGTCTGGAATCCAAGAGGAGGTAAAGTCCAGATGTCTTGCTGGACAGAATGTGCATAGGGTGGACAGGATAGGGGTGTATGGATCAGGCTAGTAGTAAAGATCTGGAGGTCTGGAGCTCAGGGATAATTCTGTAGCAGAGCTAATCCTGCTTAGATATGGAGTACACAGTGGAAGGGGATCTGGGAATGAGTCGGATATGGGGTCCGGAAATAGGTCTGGAAAGCGTGGGAATATGATGGGATCTATGTCTGGCATATGGGATATAACAGACACATGATCATTTAAACAAGCAGTCACTCACAATCACACCTCAAGAAAAAGCCATATCATATTCCCATCCATTATATCCTTGCTCTCATACTTTCAACTCCAAACACCCAAGTGTTGAAGTGAAATTGGTTTGCACTGTTCAAATTCACAAATGTGGGCCTGAATGTTTGAAAGTATACAAAGGTTGCCTCTTATGTAAATGCCAAGCACCATTTGCATTGGCTCCAGAGGCCTGGATTGATTCACAAGGTAACTGGGGTCCATGAAGAACCTACTCATTCATGAACAACTGGAACCCTTGGTTGTTGCTGGCTACACACTCCAATCACGATTGCAAACTCATCACTAATGGTGAAGGAACCAAACATATCTCTTGGTATATCTCATCATATGCTGCCAAACAACAACAGCATTCAACCAATGCATCGGCTCTACTGGCCAAAACAGTTGCATACCACCAAAAAGACAAAAGTTGGAATGCTGATCTACATTCAATCAACAAGCAACTGATTCAGTGATGCACCAATGCTCTCAGCCATGAACAGGAATTCAGCACACCTGAAGTGGTATCATATTTAGCTGGTTATGGGGACAGATATATCTCTCACCACTTCCAATTGATTCATTGGTACTTGGTGATAAGTTTGCTGAAGCACTGTTAAGGTTGCGTGCTCAAGGGGGTCGGATCACAAGGGCTTGGCCTCAGCTCATACGCTGTGCCCCTTTCCCGAGTATGTGCCCTTAATTTCCAGGGGCTAGAACAGTTGTCCGGAGTTTCTGGGATTTGACTAGGGCGGATAACGGACGTCCAGATCTGAAATGTGAGATAAATCTGATGGACGTCCGGATGTTACCTGGGCAAGCGGATAAGACTAATCCGGACGAAGTCCGGACTAGAAACTAACAGAGGATGGACTACCCTTAAGGTAGAGTCAGAAATGTAGTCTAGGATGCAATCCTAAGACTCGGAATATGACAAGAGACTTATCTCGAGTCCGGAGGACACAGGAATGAGCAGGAACTAAGATGATATTCCAACTGGAGTATTTCCGAGAGTTACAGGAGGTTTATATACTGTAGGTATCATATAGGAATCAGTCAGCAAACATAAAGGCTATGTACGAAGCATATGCAAAGTCTATTAGTAAGTAGGATGGATCACAAATAATGAACACCGGAAATGAAATGTATGTAACGGATCAATAATCAAAAGGGAAACATGGTTAACCGGAGTCCGGAGACAGGGGCAGTCTAAATGGAGTTGGGCGCTGATATAGGGTTTGGATTCTGGAAGGGAGATAAAGATAGATCAGATCATTTGAGATCTGGATCTCGGATCCGGATATCTGGAGAAGTGGATTTAGAGTTGAGAGTCTGGAATGGCATATGACATCATGTATTGATGCACCTTTCCATCACCTATATCAAAAGATGGCCATTGCAAGCCTAGTGGGAATATGATCGTCACAATGGGCTGGCTGGTGTCATTAAGACTAGAACTTCCTTGAATGCCATACCAGATGTCCTCCAGCAGTAGTCTGAGTTCATCATAAAACCTGCCAAGATAGAGGTGAGGTGCCATACCTGTTTTGATCATAATTGAAGCATTGAGCCACTGATACTCAAGAACATCTTTTTCAAATACTAGCTGGAAAGATGGATGATGGCACCAATCTTCTGGATAACTGGTGAATACATTTACAAATGTCATGCAAAAATCACTCTGCAGTTACTTTTTGTCTCAATCAAATACAGCACCAAATAAAGAAATAATGGACTACTGATGTAGTGGGAATTTTGTCCAGCTGTGGCCTCAATAGGCTCATATTCTTTGGAGCTCATCTCTTGCAAAGTATGTTCCTGACATGATTAATTTATGGCCTGACTGTCAGTGGCAGGATTTCTAGTACACACAGACAACCATCAAGTGAGTACCACTCTTCAGCTTCATTGCTGATGCATGTGGTTGGATCCAGCTCCAGCAAATACTGATATCACTCCACAGTTGTGTGTGAAATCATATGATGCAGATAATGGGTCTAGAGGAGTTCTGGGCATCTAGGCTATGTGTGTCAGAAGCAGATGCTTACTGGTTCCATGGAGAGCTCACACTTCTTGACATGTGCAGTAACCTCTATCATGGCTATGCACTAGGACTTTCCTAGACCAGATGCCATGAAAGTGCTAGTAGGTCTCGGATTTCACCTGTGCCTTCTGCACATGTATGCATTTAATTGTGCTTAATATATTGACCATGACTAGGCTTGACACTATTTGGGGTGTCTCCGAGCCACTACATAGCCTAATGCTAGTGGTCATGTCAAGTTCATGTGTCTACAGTTTACATGCTTTGGATTGTTTATCTGCCAACCTTCAGCTCTGTCTATATTCTCACCTTGAAGTCTGCTGGCAGCGCGACCATTCTGATCCAAATGCCAAGTACTTTGCAAAAACATCTTTTCTACTAGGATATAAAAGCAAGCCATCTTCCTAATACCATTTGCCATTAGCAGAAAGAGCTACTGTTCCTCTTGACACATCCCATATAACCTAGCACAAGCCACGTGTTTCTCATTTCTCCTTGCAGTTGTTGCAGCTTTGACGCCATCTATGTCTGTCAGTGCATGTGCAACTGCAGAAGGGCTTTGTGGCTCAAGCAGCATGGAACACGATACATGCTGCCCAGGCCTTAGATGTGTGATGGGTGTGAGTATGAGTTGTCTTGCATTCAGGATTTAACCCCACAACTCACCTTTGTGCCTTGTACCAATAGGACACTGGTGATGTTATGTATTGCCAGTGACCCTCCCCAGATGAGTTTGGTGGACCAAACATATCGTTGCAACAGTGAGTTGTCTCTTTCACATTGGTACAGTGGTTGATCATACAATATGCAGTTCATTGCAGAGTTTTTGGATATGCTTACTTCTGTACAAGTTTTCCTGATGCTTCAACCAGACTCTTGAACAAGTTGCTGTAGCATTGATAAAAGACCCTGGGCTCAGGCCTCATATCATTTGACTTGCGTACATTTTATATAAAAGTCCAAGAAAACTGTTGCATTCAACTGACATCAAAGTAGGTGTACATGATGTTGAAGATCATTCAGAAGGAAGAAGGGTCCTGCTAGTGTTGAGGGTACCCAAACTACACCAAATATTTTGACTCGGGTGCTGCTCCTTGAGCACAATCATAATTAATTTGACTTTGCTTGCAAGGTCATAGGAGGTCATAAACCATCTCAATAAGTTACCCTTAGTCTACCATAAGCAGACCAATACAAGGAAGGCATGACTCCATCAGCTGATCTTGTCAAGAGAAGGCTGCAGGCACCAAACTTATTAGATGATGTTTGATTAAAAACACATGACACATCATATACTGAAGCCCTGCACATGCACCAGAATAGCATCAACTATAAATTGTGCATAATGACATCTAGTGTAAGTTTTGTCAATAATGGAGTTGGCACAGATCCTTCATATGCCTACCTTGACATGCAAGATGATCTGAGATTGATTCCAGTCTACTGCTCTGTAACAGCCTAAGAGGCTCCAGTAATGAAACCAATCATAATACATTTCATAAAGCAATATATTTGCCACTGAGAGAAGTGTAGATGCTGGATATGGGTGATGTGCTTGGAGTGGTCCTGCAGAGGTTCCAGGTCTTGAGCTTGGGGATCAGAGTAGAAAGACTCAGTTTGTGCTTGAATAGGAGTTGTGCAGGAATGTCCCTGCAGTAGAACTCAGGTACACCATGGCAGCATCAAGGCTGCCCCAATGCTATACACCAAGAATAGATCATCTAGTGACAGCAATGGTAACCGTGATGTAATACAAGATATGAGTCAGAGATAAGCCTAGTGGTGGCATCATGTGGCTTGTGATGTAATATAAGGTGAAGAGAGAAAATGAATAGGGGTGTACATGATTGTAACAGAACTGCTGTGAGAATTTTGATGGTCAATGTGTTATAGAAGATGGCAAGTGAAGCTTACATTCATACTTGAGACCCAGAAGAATGTGCATCTTCATCATGACATGATTTTTTCTTCTCTGGTTCAGAAACTGTATCATTGGGGTGTAGACATTTATAGTTAGATGTGTGATGTCTGTATCCAAGTTTTAAGATGATGATTTTTTCAATATTGGCCTGGAAAATGTTGAAGTCACTAATGTGCCAGTGAAGAATGCCAAAGTGAACTTCAACAATGGCGCCATTAATCACATTCTGTGCATGAGAAGGTTCAACAAGGTGGCCATCATGATACAAGGGAAGAAGATCAGCTTGAAAAGTGTACTTTAACTCATCAAGTTCACCTACAAGTTCTTCTGCAATAGGCCAGTTCTGAGTTTCTTCATCCATTTGAGGTGCTCCTTTGAGGCTCTGACCATGTGGAGAATCCAGCATGATCCTCTCTTATTTTAAGTGAGCATAATAACTCACAGCAAATGATTCATGAGAACTCACTCTTTTCTCAAACACGTTTCTAACCATGTGAATCATCTTACCCATAATATCCTTGACAATCATATTTTTATGCTCCTTGGTGGTCCCAACTTGGTTTTGGAGAGTATCCAAAACACACATCCCAGTGTCAAAGTCCATACTGAGCTTGTGGTCAGCAGGACAAGTAAGGTAAAGCTAGTATTTAGCTTTGGCAAGAGGACTGGTGTCTTTTTTGATATGATTACCAGCTGGTCCATACTTAAGTCAGAAAGGAGAAATACAGCCAGTGAGAACACCTATAAAAGGAGATTGGTTGGTTTGATTGGCAACCTCAAAACCATTACTAGTATGCTGCCAAGCAATAGAGTCTAAGAGACCATGATAAGCCAGATAATTTGGCTCATGATGTTTCTGAGTGTGATAAGCATGTGTGTCAAATGACATGATGGTTAAGAGATGGAAAGAGCTCCTATGATTTGGCATCATCATGTAGTTTACATAAGTTGAACATTAGTCATAGTTATAGGAGTTTATATATCATATTGAATGCCAACCTCTAGTATTGGATGCTCATCATAACAAAATGTCATTGCAGTGACCTAAGGAACTCCATAAAAAGATGAAAACCTGATGCAAAGTCTCATCAGACCAATCAAACAATAAGGGGAAACACACCTATATGACTTATCAACAAATTCCCACTAAAATTTTTAGAAATAGTCAAAGATCCAATTAATACACACCTGGGCAGAAGACATGTACATGAACAGTCCCATAACCTTGAAACTCAAAGACACTGCTATAATCCTGCAAGACACTGGTAATGCCCTGTAACTCAGGAGTATGAACTTGCAACTGCAAATTATTGTTAGATGACATGGAGGTTGGAATCAAAGTAAAATTAAAGTGCTGCAACAATAAATAACAAGCCACAGCTCCACAAGGTCTGTGTCAGCAGTGCTGACTCCTAGTGCTGCATGGCTAGACACCTCAGATGATCACTGGCTACAAAAATAACAGTCAATACTTATATGATACTTAGGTGCATGAACTTTGTCATGAAGAACTCTTGGTGTGTTAATATACAATATATAGCAATATGCTAATAAAAAAACATTATCTGCAATTCACTGGCAGCCACCCTGAGCCCCCTTGTTGGACATGCTCCATGGCATTGAGCCAAGGATAGGGACAGTGTGACATAGGAGTGTGATGCACAGTGTGGCCCAAAAAGGGGTGTCACACTATTTCACATGCACAAGCCACCTTAAGGCAAGTTCACAACCACTATCAGAATTCATGAAAGTGACTCAGCAGTGTGCCCTCAAGATCTACCATAGCAGCATTCATGTGAGTCAAGATTGTCACTATGGCTGCATCAGGATCATCCTCTAAGTATCTGTTGGTACAACTGCTTTCATCAACTTCAATGGTGGCAATCAACATGAACAGTAGCAATGATTGCCACTCCAATAGTGATAGCACCCAGCAACAAAACATGGTTGGAGTGAAAAGAGCACTCACCATTGACTGTGATCCAGCTTGGTGTGCTAATACATTGTCAGCTGCTCAACTTTTCTGCATATCCAGGGAGAAAGAATACCCAGTCCAATGATTTAACATGAGAAGAAATGCCACCAGTGGTCAAGGTGGAGAAACCATGAAGACTCCTACTCCATTGCTGACTGACAAGCAAATCTCCACTGTCACAACATTTGGTCCTTGTCCTTTGTCAATACAGTTGGCAATGTTTAGCTGTGGCCATCTAACTTGAAATTCAACCAAGTATTGTGTCCCCTCATGAACTGACATTTCAGGTGACTCCATTTTGTGAGAGGTACATGGGTATATAAGGGTGCCATCCAAGTCACTTGTGTCATTCAGCAATTTAATTGCGAGCTGTCATTCTGCAGTGAGCACTGGAGTGGTTTAAAGCTAAGCTGAATTTTATTTTACAGGATGGAAGTCACAGGTTCAGGTGGGCACCAGGTTTGTGTTGGGTGAACTTTGGTTTGTTGTAGTTCCAGTGCCCTAAAATTGAAGTAGGGGATTCCACAACTCTGCTTGCTTGCCACTATTTAATTTTCAGTTTTTAGCTTTCTCAAATCCACTGCTTTGAGCAGCCCAATAGAATTATCAGGGTCTAAAAACTCTACTCATTTATTTTCTCCCCTCAAAAGTTGCTAACAAGCAATGACAATATCATTAATCAAAAGTTCTTGTCTGCTGTCACATGTAGCCAGCTGCCATCATGTCTCCAGTGCACTGGTTCAAATAAATCAAAGAGACCAAAATCTATTCACACAGGATTTAAATGTCAGGACAACCCACCTTGTGGATTTTCTGGTCTCCTTTGCCTGGTCCTTGATCAATGATCAGCATCAGGCAATTTTTTGGATGTTTCCAACTTGGACAAGTCAGTACTCTATCCTATGCAACAACTTTTGACTAATTCTACTACTCTTGATTTGGATCGTAGGCTGCAGTAATAATGCAAATGTTGGAATGCTCACTCAGGGTGGCTGGTTTTTTTGGCATTGTGGGTTGCAAATGAGTATTTGAGTAGGGGTTGAACTGACTGAGCTGCCAGAATTTCCCATGCATGCAATCACATGAATATAATCTTCCAGGTCTCTGTCATCATACCAAGAAAGTGCAAGCCCCACAGAGTGACTGGCTACTAGTTCAGGTAGGTGAACACAAAGTATGAACTGATGAAGGTGCATGTGTTGTTTGTTGAATTGTTCTTGAAATCCAAATCACTCAGCAGCCCTCCAGAGTATGAAAGGTTCTGATACATTTGGATGATTGAACTAGTATGGATGCATAGGATTGACATCCTATATGTGTGTCCATGTGCACGAACTGAAGGCAAGACTTATTATGTTTAATTATATGCTGGATTTTGACTGACACTTAGTTGCATTCGCAGCTGTGTATGAGTCTTACTGTATAGTGGCTCAAAAAACTGTCCGCATATTTTGACATTTTTCACTATCTATGATATTGTGTGAGAACAAACAAATGCCTCAAGGACATGCTTATACCACATTATAGTATGGCTTCAGGGCTTTCATTTGAGCCCTACACCGTGGGAATCGGTGGAGATATGATGGAGATACAAGGCTCACAAAATGGTGACTCATGCAGACAGTTTTTTGACTCAAGTATTTTACAATAATAACCAGGTATTCTAGTATTTTGTATGACCTCCCTTGGCTTTAATTACTGCCTCTATCCTTCTAGGCATACTCTCAATTAATTTCTGGCAATTCTCAGCTGTGATCTTCCCCCATTCCACTGCTACTCTCTCCCAAAGCTCCCATACTCCTTTAGGGGGGTTTTCATAGGCTTGAAGCTTTTTCTTGAGTGTTCCCCAGAGATGTTCAATGACATTGACATCAGGAGACTGTGCTGGCCAGTCAAGAACATTAATGTTATGTTCTTCAAACCATTCCTTAGCTCTTCTGGATGTGTGCTTGGGATCATTATCCTGTTGGAAAATGATATCTTCTTCATCAATCCCTGATTCTGCCAAGCTAGGCAGCAAGTGGTCATTTAAAATGTCCACATACTGCTCAGCATTCATCTTCCCCTCAACCTCAGCAAGCATTCCCACACCATTCCATCCCATACAGCCCCATACCATTAAAGAACCTCCTCCAAACTTGACAGTCCCATTAACCTCTCTGTCTGTTAGGCCATCTCCCTTCTTTTTCCATACATATACCTTCCCATCTGACCCAATCCTATTGATTTTGGTCTCATCTGACCATATAACATGCTTCCAGTTCTCTACAGTCCAGTATTGATGAGCTAAGGCAAAGGCTAGTCTTCTCTGCCTATGTTTGATGGAGAGAAGAGGCTTTTTCTTCTTTGTTACTGCCTTGAGATGAGCTGCCTTGAGAACATTCCTCACAGTTTGTGAAGAGACAGGGGTAGTGATGGTGGAATTGATATAATGGGTGGCTTGGACAGCATTATCAGCCTTTCCTGTAGTGATATGTTGGATAATAGCCCTTTTGTCAGTAGAGATAAGCTTGGATAGACGTCCTTCACAAGAGTTTTCCTTGTCTGGGTGACTTTCTTTGATAAACTTGGCCATAGTGGACTTGCATACTCCAGTTCTAGAGGAAATTTGGCGAGCAGAGAGGCCAGCATAAGACAGAGAGAGGATATTATCTCTTTGAGCAGAGGAGATGGCTTTCATGGTGATTATGACTATGATACATGAGATATTCTGGTTTATATAGTTAGATATAGTCATAAAATAACATAATGACATCACTTCATAATTTATATAATAGTGGCATGATTTTTGTGGTGTCATAAATAATGATTTATATAGTTTTAATATACACTCAAAAAACTGTCCACATGAGTCATCATTTTATAAGCCTTATGTCTCCACCATATCTCCACAGATTCCCACGGTGTAGGGCTCAAATGAAAGCCCTGAAGCCATACTACAATGTGGTATAAGCATGTCCTTGAGGCATTTGTTCGTTCTCACACAATATCATAGATAGTGAAAAATGTCAAAACATGCAGACAGTTTTTTGAGCCACTGTACATCACAGTTACTGCTACACTTCAAGTCCAGTCTTGAAGGGTCATAAGCACTCTGTTGCTGCTGCCTATGATACACTTGTCCAAGGATGTGCTCAAAACCTCAAGTGTCAAAGACCTTCTGGTTTCTCATTAGTCTAGCTGACCAGTGAATAACTCCCTTGGTCTCCCTGGTAGCAAGTGCATCCCACATCTCTGCTTTGGAGTTGACTAATAGCCATTAAGTTATTGAAGTGGATCAAATGCTCACATGTGCTAGTAAATTTTCAGTATACATTTCTGTTATGAACTAGGATAGTTGTAACAACAGCAGCTTGATAAGAGTGACGGCTGAAGTCACGTTCAAGACCCTGCAAATGCAAGGGTCGTAAGACAAGACAGAGAGAGTGTCTCTGATTTGAATATCGGTCTTTAGATGACTTAAGATTGGAGGTCTTAAGCGAAAGATGTTCCAGGTAAAACCTAGTAAGATTAAAGTAAAGATCTACTGAGTATTCGACCAAGTATATATAGCCATAAGGACTTTAGGGCAGGTACATATACGTCAGCAGCAATGAGTCAAAGATAAGGACAAGTCAGAGATAAGGATGAGTCAGAGATAAGAATGAGTCACCTAGCGACAGCAACAGCGATTGTGGTGTAGTACAAATATAGCATAGCAAACAGGAGGTCTAGTGATGGTGCAGGGCAGCGCGGTCATGACATAATACAAAGGGAAGAGGAAAATGAGTAGGGGTGGGCGTAACTGTAACAATTTCTGGGAGCTTGATACATGCCACTAAATGGGGATAATTCTTACTCTGCTGCAAGACATGATGCATAATTTCCATGATCAACATATCCACTACAAGAGATGCATTTGACTATCTTGGAATGCATCGTCTCAGGTCACCACTTACTTTAATGCCATGGTCATGTTTGGATGCAGCAAATAATGAATGAATCAACAACCCCATTCATCAGCTGTGGAATTGCCAAAGGTCAGTATGATTGATTTTCATGAATTTCACTGATGTATGTGGTTGCTCCCACAGATATGAGGACTATGCCTCAAGATCTCTACATCTGTGTACTCAGATTTCATTCAGCAATCCATTTTCATGGTACCCTGGGGATAGTGAGATTTTGACAGACCATTACCCATAATTGCTTCAATGCAACTGCACATGCAATCATGATGCAGTGTATAGCATTGGGGCAGCCTTGATGCTGCCATGGTGTACCTGAGTTCTACTGCAGGGACATTCCTGCACAACTCCTATTCAAGCACAAACTGAGTCTTTCTACTCTGATCCCCAAGCTCAAGACCTGGAACCTCTGCAGGACCACTCCAAGCACATCACCCATATCCAGCATCTACACTTCTCTCAGTGGCAAATATATTGCTTTATGAAATGTATTATGATTGGTTTCATTACTGGAGCCTCTTAGGCTGTTACAGAGCAGTAGACTGGAATCAATCTCAGATCATCTTGCATGTCAAGGTAGGCATATGAAGGATCTGTGCCAACTCCATTATTGACAAAACTTACACTAGATGTCATTATGCACAATTTATAGTTGATGCTATTCTGGTGCATGTGCAGGGCTTCAGTATATGATGTGTCATGTGTTTTTAATCAAACATCATCTAATAAGTTTGGTGCCTGCAGCCTTCTCTTGACAAGATCAGCTGATGGAGTCATGCCTTCCTTGTATTGGTCTGCTTATGGTAGACTAAGGGTAACTTATTGAGATGGTTTATGACCTCCTATGACCTTGCAAGCAAAGTCAAATTAATTATGATTGTGCTCAAGGAGCAGCACCCGAGTCAAAATATTTGGTGTAGTTTGGGTACCCTCAACACTAGCAGGACCCTTCTTCCTTCTGAATGATCTTCAACATCATGTACACCTACTTTGATGTCAGTTGAATGCAACAGTTTTCTTGGACTTTTATATAAAATGTACGCAAGTCAAATGATATGAGGCCTGAGCCCAGGGTCTTTTATCAATGCTACAGCAACTTGTTCAAGAGTCTGGTTGAAGCATCAGGAAAACTTGTACAGAAGTAAGCATATCCAAAAACTCTGCAATGAACTGCATATTGTATGATCAACCACTGTACCAATGTGAAAGAGACAACTCACTGTTGCAACGATATGTTTGGTCCACCAAACTCATCTGGGGAGGGTCACTGGCAATACATAACATCACCAGTGTCCTATTGGTACAAGGCACAAAGGTGAGTTGTGGGGTTAAATCCTGAATGCAAGACAACTCATACTCACACCCATCACACATCTAAGGCCTGGGCAGCATGTATCGTGTTCCATGCTGCTTGAGCCACAAAGCCCTTCTGCAGTTGCACATGCACTGACAGACATAGATGGCGTCAAAGCTGCAACAACTGCAAGGAGAAATGAGAAACACGTGGCTTGTGCTAGGTTATATGGGATGTGTCAAGAGGAACAGTAGCTCTTTCTGCTAATGGCAAATGGTATTAGGAAGATGGCTTGCTTTTATATCCTAGTAGAAAAGATGTTTTTGCAAAGTACTTGGCATTTGGATCAGAATGGTCGCGCTGCCAGCAGACTTCAAGGTGAGAATATAGACAGAGCTGAAGGTTGGCAGATAAACAATCCAAAGCATGTAAACTGTAGACACATGAACTTGACATGACCACTAGCATTAGGCTATGTAGTGGCTCGGAGACACCCCAAATAGTGTCAAGCCTAGTCATGGTCAATATATTAAGCACAATTAAATGCATACATGTGCAGAAGGCACAGGTGAAATCCGAGACCTACTAGCACTTTCATGGCATCTGGTCTAGGAAAGTCCTAGTGCATAGCCATGATAGAGGTTACTGCACATGTCAAGAAGTGTGAGCTCTCCATGGAACCAGTAAGCATCTGCTTCTGACACACATAGCCTAGATGCCCAGAACTCCTCTAGACCCATTATCTGCATCATATGATTTCACACACAACTGTGGAGTGATATCAGTATTTGCTGGAGCTGGATCCAACCACATGCATCAGCAATGAAGCTGAAGAGTGGTACTCACTTGATGGTTGTCTGTGTGTACTAGAAATCCTGCCACTGACAGTCAGGCCATAAATTAATCATGTCAGGAACATACTTTGCAAGAGATGAGCTCCAAAGAATATGAGCCTATTGAGGCCACAGCTGGACAAAATTCCCACTACATCAGTAGTCCATTATTTCTTTATTTGGTGCTGTATTTGATTGAGACAAAAAGTAACTGCAGAGTGATTTTTGCATGACATTTGTAAATGTATTCACCAGTTATCCAGAAGATTGGTGCCATCATCCATCTTTCCAGCTAGTATTTGAAAAAGATGTTCTTGAGTATCAGTGGCTCAATGCTTCAATTATGATCAAAACAGGTATGGCACCTCACCTCTATCTTGGCAGGTTTTATGATGAACTCAGACTACTGCTGGAGGACATCTGGTATGGCATTCAAGGAAGTTCTAGTCTTAATGACACCAGCCAGCCCATTGTGACGATCATATTCCCACTAGGCTTGCAATGGCCATCTTTTGATATAGGTGATGGAAAGGTGCATCAATACATGATGTCATATGCCATTCCAGACTCTCAACTCTAAATCCACTTCTCCAGATATCCGGATCCGAGATCCAGATCTCAAATGATCTGATCTATCTTTATCTCCCTTCCAGAATCCAAACCCTATATCAGCGCCCAACTCCATTTAGACTGCCCCTGTCTCCGGACTCCGGTTAACCATGTTTCCCTTTTGATTATTGATCCGTTACATACATTTCATTTCCGGTGTTCATTATTTGTGATCCATCCTACTTACTAATAGACTTTGCATATGCTTCGTACATAGCCTTTATGTTTGCTGACTGATTCCTATATGATACCTACAGTATATAAACCTCCTGTAACTCTCGGAAATACTCCAGTTGGAATATCATCTTAGTTCCTGCTCATTCCTGTGTCCTCCGGACTCGAGATAAGTCTCTTGTCATATTCCGAGTCTTAGGATTGCATCCTAGACTACATTTCTGACTCTACCTTAAGGGTAGTCCATCCTCTGTTAGTTTCTAGTCCGGACTTCGTCCGGATTAGTCTTATCCGCTTGCCCAGGTAACATCCGGACGTCCATCAGATTTATCTCACATTTCAGATCTGGACGTCCGTTATCCGCCCTAGTCAAATCCCAGAAACTCCGGACAACTGTTCTAGCCCCTGGAAATTAAGGGCACATACTCGGGAAAGGGGCACAGCATATGAGCTGAGGCCAAGCCGTTGTGATCTGACCCCCTTGAGCATGTGAGCTTAACACATGACCACTCTGTATCAACTGCTTTTCCTGCACTCAACCCGCTCCAGACGTGCATTCCCACACTCTGCAGACCTGCTCATTCACTCCTGCACTGCATGGGTACCTGCAGTCAATTTCCCATGCCTTTGGATTACCTTACAGATGTCCTGCATCAGTCCATTGTCCATCCTACCTCATTGGTATGTATTTTGCCTTGCCTCATGTGTTGTAACAAGTGTTGCAGTCTTATTACATATTATTACTGCCTGTCTGTCCTGTCCCTTCTGTTCTGAGAGGGTTTAGCTAGTATAAAGTGCCTAGGGTGACTACTTCATATTTACTTCCCTTCTATGGTATTTTCTTCCCTTAGGTTTTACTTAGGAGCAGTCACCATTAGTGCATGCTTTTAGCCCCTATTGGTTACCTTATACCTGGACACCTTGTCTTGACTTTCCTTACCCATGCAATGAATACCCTTGCCCTCACTTGTTACTCACACCATTCCTTAAGACTTCCCTACTCCTTATCCTAGCATCTTGCACTTCTGCATTGACCGCTCATTGACCACTCATCAACTGCACTTCCACATTCCCACACTCTACATACCTGCGCACTTTCAGGTCTTTAGTATCATAGGCTGTTCTCAGTAGCAATTCCCTTGGGTTGAATGTTCTTGCTTGCAAGTGTAGCAGCTAGGCAGGACTAGTAGACATGTGTTGGCTAGGTATTCTAACAACTATCTAGCCAAGTTGTGTTTTGCACACCATTCTGTACATATGTTTCCACCAAGATTAGCAGGATCTTGTGTGATGGTTATAAAAACCTTGTCATGGTGTTCTTCTCCTGCTTCATGCTTCCTGTCAAAACAATAACAAGATCAAGTTTCAATATTGTTGATGAGTTCCACTTGGCTCAAACACTTCTTCATGTGTCCAATCCTGCTCCCTCCACATAAAGTCCCCTTCCATATCTGGAGTGCACAAATCAGAGATAATCAACAGTACTTCATGCATGAAGTACTTATAGTGTCTCAAAAAAGTGTCTCAATGTTTGTGACTTTTCATGTAATTGCTGTATTGTGAGCTAGGGCGTGAGAATATGACTAAGCCATAGGGAGGTGTGGGAAAGCTCTGCTTCTAAGCTTCATGTTTGATCCCTATAGCGTGGGAAGATTATGTCATCAAGTGAAGATATGGTTGATTTAATTTGGTGACTCATTGAGACACTTTTTTTGACTTTCAGTTTGGCTAATACAATCTCTATAATTCTAGTACTTGATGCTTCCTCCTGTTGCTTTAATTACTTCCACCACTCTTCCATGCATACTATCTATCAATTTGAGGTATTCCTCATCAACAATCTTGCCCCACTCTGCTGCAACTCTCTTCCACAGCTGAAATAGTCCATATTATTATCCTCAGCTCTTCTAATCTGTATACCAGGCAGATTGCTACCAAAACTGGCCTGAGCAGGGTTACTATCGTTAGGATCATAAAAAAGTCATGCCAGATAAGAAAAATATCAAACTAGATTGTCCTTTCAAGTTTACGCCACATAGCAAAAAATCTCTTGTTCATAATATTCCAACTAGGCAGGCTGCCAATGCTACTCAAGCTACCAAATTTATTAATTACATCATCTACACTGCTCTCTCCACTCAAATAGTCAGGAATACTCCTAAGGCAGCCAATCTTAAAGCTGTAAACAGGCAGAAAAAGCCTTTCCTGTCTTCAGCCTAGAGGAGAAGGAGACTAGCCTTGGCTTTAAAGCCTCAATATTGGATTGTTGAGGACTGGAATAGGGCTACCTGGTCAGATGAGACCAAAATCAATAGGATGGGGTCAGATGGCTAGGAATATATGTGATGAAAGGCAGAACAACTACTAGAACAAAAAAAGTCAAGAAAACACTAAAGTATGTAAAGTAGGAAACTTGATGGTATGGTGTTGTATGAGGTGGAATGGAGTAGAAATTCTCTGTGAGGTGGGGGGGAGGATGAATGCAGAGCAGCACATTTCAATTTTTGAAACTATCTGCTCAGAAGCATGCAAGAATCAAGAATTATTGAATAAGATGTTACCTTCTAACAAGACAATGTCCCTAAGCATACTTCAAGTTGACCATAAAATGGTTTGAAAACTATGGCATCAGTGTGCTATCATGGTAAGTCCAGTCCTCAGACCTCAACCCTATTGAACAGCCCTGGTAATTGCTCAAGATATCACTTGCAGTCTATCAAGAACCTCAATAGGGGTTATTTCAGCTATGGGAGAGTTGCAGCAGAGTGGGGCAAGATTGTTGATGAGGAATACCTCAAATTGATAGATAGTATGCATGGAAGAGTGGTGGAAGTAATTAAAGCAACAGGAGGAAGCATCAAGTACTAGAATTATAGAGATTGTATTGGCCAAACTGAAAGTCAAAAAAAGTGTCTCAATGAGTCACCAAATTAAATCAACCATATCTTCACTTGATGACATAATCTTCCCACGCTATAGGGATCAAACATGAAGCTTAGAAGCAGAGCTTTCCCACACCTCCCTATGGCTTAGTCATATTCTCATGTCCTAGCTCACAATACAGCAATTACATGAAAAGTCACAAACATTGAGACACTTTTTTGAGACACTGTACTCATGGTCTGGGTGTCTCTAAAACCACAACACAAAAACTCCATTGTATCTCTATAATGGTGTCCTATCTCACCACTTCATACCTACTGAAATCATGGGTACAGAGAAAGGGATTATAACAATGGTTGGTTAAATTTTTGGAAGAATCCAATGCATTCAAGAAGGGAAGATGGTGAAGGGTAGGCAGGTTGAATAATTACATGGAGGAGGGGTTTAAACAAAACACCAAGATTTAAAAACAGACTTTATCAGCTAGATACTTTTTTCTTTAGGGTATGGGTGAAAACCTGTTTTTTATTAGCAGTGTTAATAACAACATGTTAATAACTTGTTAATAACAGTTAATAATATGGGTGCCACATAGGAAGGGTTAATAAAGTGCTAATAAGTCAAGTGACCCCTGTGTGTGAGGGTCCAGCCTTTGTGCCTTCCCCTTGATCATTGATGACCCCCAGTGAAAGTTGGACATGGCCATTTCCACACACAGCCACGCAAATCTACTATGGCTATGGCACATTGAATCACATAGACATGCATCAGTATCTGTGCTTTCTGTAGCTGTGAAAACAATGTGCATCAGTGCTGGTGTATGCTTTTCAACACATTGACTGCTAGATAGAATTCTATAGATTTGAATATAACTGTATGTCCCTTTGATATCTTGCTGGCTTCAACACAGATATACAGAAATCAATGCATTGCAACATAGCATACAATATGAATCATGCCACTAAAAACCACCCATGCTCATACCTGGGCCCACCCCTGTGCTCATGCTCATACCTGCCCCTCCTACCTGATGCTGCTGCTGTGCTAGAACAATGTACTGCTGGAGAACTTACTGATCACTTTGACAGTACTGCCAGTCCAAATGCCATCAGATATCTGGAAAGAAGACATGTCAGTATGCTGAGAAAATATGATAGTGCTCACCAGTTTTTTGTGTCTGTTTCATATTTCTGGAGAACACTACAAGTTAGTAATGCAAATGGCAGAATGAAGATAAACACACCTCCTGATGGTCTTTGCCCAGTGAGTCCCAGTATAATTTGAAATCTCAAGAGTAGCCATTGGGTGCTACTTGTTTGAGCCAGCGATGTGCACAAAGATTTCTGTTGTGAAGTTACATTAGCAATGTAAAATGAGAATCTTAGAATTAGTAAGACTCACCTCCCATTCTTTGTAGTCACAGGGCAGAAGTTCTTGCTGGTAGAGCCAGGCTTTCCTTGTGAGTCTGCATTCACAACCTGCAAGGTCACAGATTCAGAGGGCATAGATGTGCCACAAGCCTTGATCAGTGTTGCTAAAGAAACACTAGGAAGGCCAAGAGTATCCACACAAGGTGTGATTGTGTTGTCTGCAGATGGCATTGGTAGCATGAGTAACATTGTCAGATCAGGTGCTGTTGGTGTTGCAGGGGCATTGGTGGAAGGTATTGCAGAATTGGTGTTGATGGGTGCTGTGGTTGGTGTCATATTGGCAGGAGCAATCAAGGGCATTGGCAAAGCATCATGAGACTTGTTATTTTCCTTTTCCTTGAGGTGGATAAGGGCATCTTTTCTGAAAGCCAAAGTTTGTCAATGTAGTAGGTATATTGAGCAAAAAAACACTTACAAAGGGTTTCAGAGTGGAGCAAATAGGGTTTTTGGCTGTTGCAAATAAAGTAGTTCAGATTGCATGAATGCAGATAACTACTAAACTTACTGGATTGTTTGTCTGAGGCTTTGGGCTTGGTGATAATGGCAGCAAAAGAGATGATGAAGGTGGATCAGGAGACTCAGTATTTGAAGAAGAGATCTTGGGTGGCTCTGAGTCACAAGCCTCTAAGTTCATGTTAGCTGTTTTCATGTGTTTTGAATCATGTTGACAGGTATTGGCAGACTTGACCATCCTTGCCTTTTGCTTTTGTGGTTTTACATGTAGTTTTATCTCCTCAGGGTCAGTAGATGAAGAATCTCCTTCCTTGAGATGAGTGGATGCCCATGATGGGTAGTGGTCTCTAGTGATGTGCTTGATCTTCCAGTACCTGTCACAAAGGGCTGACTTGGGGTGTATGCAAGACACTTCTTTGTAGAGTGCATTGCAAGCATTAGGGATTGCTCAACCCCATGAGATTAGTGCTATTCCACATTGTTGGAGGCCAAACCAGGCCACTGTGATGATCATACCAGTGCTAGGCACATATGATTACTAGTATGGTTCTTCTCACTCCCAGGAAAGGAGATAAAGTGCTGATCATTTAATCCATATATATTGACTCATCCACTGTGATGATCATACCAGTGCTAGGTGCATATAATCACTAGCATGGTTCTTCTCACTCCCAGGAAAGGAGATAAAGTGCTGATCATTAAATCCATATATATTGACTCATCCACTTTTAGTACACTCCTTTGACAATAGGTACACACTCCTCCCACAACCCGCACTCCCATTTAGCTTTGGTCTGGTCCTAGGAATCCATCCTCTTATGTCCTATCCATGTCCACCTATTTCCACTGGTGCGTTATTTTTCCCAAATATCATTGCTAAATGAGCTGCAGGTCTTATTACACATTACTCATGTCCCACAGCGCATGATGTCTTATTACCTATAGACTTGTCATGCGCTCACTTACTATGCTACAATTCTCACCTACACATTCCAGACCTTCATGCACTATGATAAAATGACCACAGTACATACAATTGAGTTAGTTCCCTTCCCCCTGGACTCAGCCCTATAGGAGAGTTGCCCTCACATTATTTTTGTAGACCTTGTGCAATCCAATCTATTTGCTCATACTTGACAATCTCACACAATTCAACTACTCTGAAGTTCTGTACCACTAGGACCTTATACTTAGGCTCTTGAACACCTGACCTGTGACCAGTAACTTAGCATGGTCCTTCTCTCATGCTATCTCTCTTGCACCCAGCCACTCTATTGAGCGCAGTTGATTTCATGTGTGTCACATCTACCATGCCAGTATCCGGCATTTGCTGCACTCACATGTATCCTCTAGTATTCATCTTGCACTTGTGATACTAACACCAGTCAATTTTTGTCCATGCTCATGGTTGATTCTCTGACATAGGAATTTGAAGGTATATATACATCCCGTGCTCTAGTTCTTAGGCTGCTATAGATTTTAACTCCTTCGCTCACTTGCTTCCCTTGCATTCGAAGGAAGTGCTTCAATAGCAGTCCTCATGGGCCAATCTACCAACTCATGCCTCTTAGGATAAGTAGTGCTAGTTGCTAACAGCCTAGTACCTATTTCTTCTTCACACCACATGAAAAGTCTTCATGATGGTGCATTGCTTGGATGCCATGACAGGGTCCCCATTCATATGCTTGAGGAAGGGTAATGATCCCCACTGATCACCTTGTGCATCAGCAGTGCTGTCCCATTTCTTGAAGTCTTTGTGAGTCCAAAAATTGACAAGAGGGTAGTCCTCCTTTCATAGACCAGTGACAGGGTTGCAATCAATAGCATCAGTCTTGACAGGGATTTTGAGTGGTTGAAGTAGTGTATTGGAGCCCAAATATAAAGAAATATCATCTGATAGTGAAAGTGAGTGTGATAAAGTTTCAAATGTGATTCTAAGCTTCAGGTTTGTTAAGCTGCTGAAGATAACAGGAGAAAACAAACTGATAAGCATCTTGGGATGCAGTAAGGATCAAAATTTGATGACTCAAATGTTCATTGACAAATTGCAGATGAATATTTTCATCTTGGACTTGTCCAAATGTATGCTGTGAGTGAGTATATGCACTGTTTTGAACATAATAAAACATATTCAATCTCACTGTGTTGTTTGGAAAGCTTCCACCATAATGCGAAAGGCCATTCCAGCCTTGATTCAGCTGACCCTGTGGAGGTATGAGAAAGGGAGATCATGCACTAGCATGGCCCAGGAGCTGGTGGTTATTGTCATATAGTTGATTCATACAGCTGAAATCTTGAGCCTGAGGCTGGTAGTGTTCATCAGACATAGCAAAATGATTGAGAACCAAATGAGCAAAAATTGTGTACTAGTAGAGGTATTAAGCAAAGGGGCTTCAGTATCATCCAAGGGTGATTAGAATTCTGTCTCCACTGGAATATTCTGTTATGGGTCCTTGAGTTGGTGGCTTTCATTTACAGTACTCCTTTATATCACTTGAAACCCCCTTACAGACTCACATTCCCCCTTGTCTTTGCACTTGTAACTTTTTGGTGTCTCTTCCATTGCATTTATTTTGTAGACCTCTTCTAATTGTACACAATGAACACTTGTATTCTTATTAGTGAAATAGAACCCTGTTGCTACTGCTTGCTCAATGTGCTCATGAAATGGTATTGAAAACTTTGGAACAGGTACTTCTATTCTTCTCACTCATTATTGTCATCATCCTCTTCAGTAAATACTCCAGTATATGATACATCAAGCCTGGTCTTTTCAACAACAAAGACTTGGTCCTCAGTAACTCCAGATGGTAAAGTAGGCCAATGAGGTATAACTGTGATGATGGCCTGGATATCAGTGACATCTACAACATGAAGGCCAACTTCACCTTGATTTGTGCAAGACCAAACTGTCTGGTGTGACAATTCAAGAAGCTGTTTGTCAGGTGTGGAATATAATGAAACAAGTGTGACAGTCCTGAATTACCATGCTGCCTGTGGACCCTGTAATCAGCAGACAAAATCTTCAGGGTCCTTGTCATTGCCAGGTTCAACATCATTTCAAATGGCAAGCTGTGTGAAATATTGGACCTCCTCATAGCAAGTTGTTCCGTCAATCTTGAGCTAAAATATCAATTAATTTGAGAACACACAATAAATATATGAAGTACCTTGACATTTCACAACATTCATGTTTTTTCTAGAGGTCGCAGTGCTTCCTTCCATGCTGAGTGGGCCACTTGTCCATTTGGGAGCCAAAGGTGTGACCACCAATACATTTTTGGTGCATTGCAGCCCAGAAATTCGGATATGAGTCTTTTCTCTGTGTCCATTGTGAAGAAGTAATTGGTACTAGGCATTTGGCAACTAGCACTACTTATCCTAAGAGGCGCAAGTTAATTGATCGGCCTGAGAGGACTGCTATTGAAGCACTTCCTTCAATTATGTGCAAGGGAAGTAAGTGAGCAAAGGAGTTATAACCTATGTCAGCCTAAGAAACTAGAATGCGGACCATATGTATACCTTTGAATTTCTATGCCAAAGAATCAACTGTAAGCATGGGCAAAAATCAACTGATGTTAGTATCACAAGAGCAGGATGAACCATTGGAAGATATGTGTGAGTGTATTGGGTGTCAGATGCTGGTGTGGCAGATGTAATGTGCACAAAATCAACCATGCTCTATGGAGCAGCCGGTCACAAGGGATATAGCACAAGTGAAGAATTGCACTAAACTACTGGTCACGGGTCGGGTATTCTTGCAAGAGCTTAAGGGTAAGATCCTAGTGGTACAGAACTTCAGAGTGGTTGAATTGTGCAGGATTGTCAAGAAAGAGCAAAATAGATGGATTGCACAAGGTCTACAAAAATAACACAAGAATGACTCTCCTATAGAGCTGAGTCTGGGGGAAAGGGAACTACTCAATCATATGTACTGTGGTCATTTATATCATAGCATGTGAATGTCCAGAATGTGTAGGTGAGAATTGTAGTGTAGTTAGTAAACATGTGATGAGTCTATAGGTAATAAGACATCATGTGCTGTGGAACGTGAGTAGATGTGTAATAAGACCTGCAGCTCATTTAGCAATGACATTTGGGAAAAATAACACACCAGCAGAGGTAGGTGGACATGGATAGGACATGGGAGGGCAGATTCCTAGGACCAGACTGGAGTAAGAGCAGATAGGTCAATATATATGGATTTAATGATCCACGCTTTATCTCCTTTCCTGAAGGTGAGAAGAACCATACTATTGATCATATGTGCCTAGCGCTGGTATGATTGTCACATCTGTGGGAGACTCAAATACCAACTGTCCCCAGTCAGTCATGCATCAGGACTTGGACTTGGCAGAATTTTTGCATCGACAAGGGCATGTGACCATAGAATTCCAGGTACAGTAGAGTTTGTGGACCAGTTCCAGATTGAATAGAGATGTGGAGTGTGGAGTTCAGTGATTTTTGCACAGACAATGGAAAGAAGTGTGGACATGTGGTGGACACAATCATGCTTCCCTATAAGTACCTCTACTTCTTTTCCTATCTCTCATCTCTACCATTGCTATCATGTCTAGCTTCTCTTTTGACTTTTCTAAGGTCGTTGACCCTGCTGCTGACAAAATCCAGCATGCATTTACTGAATTACATGCCCAGGTGGTCAACTTGGCTGATATTATGCCCAAAGATCGACCTGATCTAATGGCTCACAAGGAAGAATGGTGCCACAATTGGGTCAAGCTACTGGTAAGTGGTACTTTTGTGCACTTACTGCCCTTTTCTAATGTTCTTGCAGGCTGATCTAGAGAAATGCTCCATGGACAGCAAGACTCATAATCTGAGCCTTGTCCTTGCACCTGAGGAGAGCACTAAAGGTTGTAAGGCTGAAGAAGTGCATGTTCACTTCCATGAGCAGATACGCACCTTCAAAATTGAGGCTGAACATCAGGCCAAGGAATGCGTGCATTTGGAAGAGGAGAAGCAGTTGAAAGAAAAAGGCAAGGGAAAGGAGAAGGAGGCCACTGGGGAAGACTTTGCAATGGAGGATGGTCAGGAAGAGGCTGGTGAGGATGCTGCAGGAGAGGCTGATGAGGAGGAAGAGAGACCAGAGACTCCCAAGCACCCTGCATGCGCTGGGATTCATAAGGAATCTAAGGCTGTAGAGCCTGTCCTTAGTAAGGCAAAACACATGAGTACTCTCTGTTTTCTCTTTTGGTTGTTTTTGCTGAACTTGCTTGCTAGATGGTAGGACATATGAGTGTTCCCAAGGCCCATGTCTCACATAAGGACAAGTGCAACTGGTGCCTTAAGCACAATATCCCTTGCCAAGGTATGCCTGGTATGGGGTGCTTCACCTGCCAGGTAGCTAAGCATGGCTGCAAGCATGCTACTCATCAGTGCAGTGGTAAGTTTTTCCTTAGATCTTTCTTCTCTATCTAACCTTCCTTTTCTTAGTGTGTCAGGCCCAGCTCCAGGCTGTGGCCAAGCCTAGTCTTCAGGCTGCACATAAGGCACCTTCAACTTCTGGTTCTGGCCCTACCATGGGTTCCTCCAAGGACATTTGTGACCTTATGTGCTGCCCTGTTTTATTGCCTGAACCCCCCATTATGGTCTCTGAGGACAAGGAACCTGATTCTCTTGTGTGCATTGAGAAGTGCAAGTTGCCTGAGGGCGAAGATCTAGAGGATTTTGACCTGCTTGTTGATGCAGAAGCAAGTGATGAAGACTTGCTCATGGAGGGTCAGGTGCAGGCTCTCTATGCCAAGGTTTTTACTATGCACATCAGGAAATCAACCTGAAGTTGATATGACCAGATATCATTATCATGGTGTCACACATATATGAATGAAGATATGACTATGCTAGAAATATCACCTTGATGTGTATTTTGTATTAGGAAATCAGCACAAACTTGTTTTTCCTAGATTTAGTTGGTAAAATCATATCAAGAATCTACTGAATTATATAAGATTATATACAAAGATAAAGTTTGATATAAGTATGACAAATTGATATTAAATGGACAAGGATTGTAAGAAAGCCAACATTCTGATGTAGATATGTCATGTCTTACAATTGTATTAACAATTCTCTACCAATTTATCTTCACTGCCATTACTTGCATGACATTGCACTAACCATGTTACATGACAGATGCTTAGGTAAGTCGGAGTTTCAATTTTTCAACCAACTTCAAAACTTGTCTTCTGTCATCTCATCTACACTCTAAGTACACCCTTCTGGCCCCTCAAGCCAACATCCTCTTCTCTTCCTCCCTGTCTCTTCATGGTGATATCTTTGGCCCTATGTGGTGGTTTTTCCTCCTTTATGGTCCCTGGCTCCTCCCTGGTCTTCCCTGGTCTTCCTTCCTGGCTCTCCCTGGCCCTCCTTCCTGGTCCTCATCCCTGGCCCTCCCTGGTCCTCCTTCCTGGCCCTCCCTGGTCCTCCTCCCTGGCCCTTATGGTCTCTTCCTTCTCCCCTGAGACAGGTAACTATCATGTCCCTCTCTAGCTTCTGTCCTATCATGTTTCTCTGCTCTCCTGTATTAGTACTACATGTGTATACCCTAAACCCAATTAAAATTTGATTCGAATTATAAAACGATAAAATGAGTGTCAAGGTTGAGACTTTTCAGTAATTTCTTGGCAATTTTATTTGAAGTAGTCTAGTATTATAAAACTTTATTGAAAATGGCAGATGTTTGCAATATGCATCATAATTGTGTCCTTGGCAATTTTTCCCACTATAACCTGCCTATCTAAAGCTTCGTCAAGGCTGAGTGATAATATAAGACTTTGTTGAAGATGGCAGGTGTTTACAACAAGTGTCATGATTGTGTTTTTGGCAGTTTTTCCCAGTGGAACCTGCCTATCTAAAGCTTTGTCAGGCTGAGTGCAATTATGATAGGTATTATATAAATTTTATGATAGACAGAGCTTTACAAAGCTATGTCATTTTCAGGTCAATTGCCTGATGCATGGCATGCTGATGGAGGTGTTGAATGAGTTGGATGTTATCTCCATCCACTACAAGAAGAAGAGGCGGTTCCTGTAGATAGTTTCTTTCTTGACAAGAATCAGTGTGCATGTACATTAGGATACCCTTGAATAGTGCCAAATGGAAGTGTTTTGACCAGTTTGAATCCTTTGGTGTGCACCTTAAGTCCTAAGTGTCCAGTATCCCTATGTCCCATGTCCTATGTTCTGGTCCTACTCCACTGGGTGCCTAAGAGATAAGTAAGGTAAAATGAGCATGTGTGCATGCTGCAGAAGAAGTGGAAAGATACATGTCACTTGCAGGTTTCCACCTGGCTTATCTTCCTTGTTGCGCTTTCATCCTCTATCCCTGCTGTGTGGTGGTGCAGTCGAATCCTTGGTATGTATCAATGTGTGTGGTGAGCTGCCTACATGTTTGAAGAGAATTTGTACAGTAATCATTGAGTGCACATATAATCTAGTCCTTTGGCAATGTCTGTGTGTGATTAGAGTCTATGCGCAGGTAGTGCATATCATATGTAAGTTACTGAGTGATTGGAATTGGGCGGGAAAGAAGGGAAATGAAACTGAGGCACTGGACAAAACCTGGGGTAAAACTGAGGCTATCATACAAGGATGATATGTTTTTGTGTTTTTCTGGTTTTTTTTTTGCAGATATAGGCTGAGGTCTGATGTGGGTATGTGGGTACAGGGGCGGGTGTTGCACATGGAGGTGTGGCTATCCCTCTGTGTCGAAATTGGGCGCTTCATCATCCAGTTCTTCTATGTCTTCTCCTACCAGGTTGTCCAATGCTTCATCGTCCAGGCCTGTAATACTAGTAATGGAGATTTTAGTTTCACTGCATGGAATGTAAGGAATCAAGTGAAAGGCTGCAAAATGAAGCCTAGACACAGATCCATCTAGTTCTGACAAGATATATGACCCACCCTTCATGTGATGGATAACAATCATAGGTCTGAGATAGCATGGCTTTGTCTTTTGACTTAGCTCCTACTTGACTTTGCTGTTGCATACTAGAACAAAGGTACCAGGCTCAAAATCATAATCTGTAATCAAGCACTGGAAGTGCTGCTTGAATTTGCAGATGGACTGGTACTGGGTGTTCTGGACTCTTTCTTTGATGGCTTGGAGATCTTCTTGTCGCTTCTGCAGTTGGCATGCACGCCAGGCAATGAGGTCTGTGGTCAAGAACATATCTTGGTCTGGGAGTGCTACTAGAAATGTTCCTTTAGCAAGATTGAATGGGAATATAGGCTCTATGCCATGGACCATAAAATAGGACATTAGACCTGTCACTTGGTGTACTGTGACATGCTCAGCCCATAGGATGGTGTGTGCGGATTGGTACCAGCACAACTCATCCCCCTTGCAACTTTTCATGATGGCCTCCTGGACATCATAGTGACGCTGTTCAATAATACCATTAGCTTGGGAGTTGTATGGTGAGATGCAAATCAGGTGAATCCCATAGCATGCTGCTAAATCATCAACTGCTGCCCAGAATGCAGGTCCATTGTCAGTAACAATTTCGGTGATAGGTCCCCACCTGCAAAGGAGCTCTTTGAATATGAATGCACCTAGAGATTTGGTGTTCTCTTTGTGTAGCATACACCATTCTGGGTATCTGGTTAGTGCACACTGCACATGGATTAGACAGTCAAATCTGCCCACTTTGGGCATCATCATACTATCTATATGCATCTTTCTAAATATGCTGCCTGGGATGGGTACAGTTGGGGGAATGTGCAGTTTGCGCATTTGCCTGATCTGGCATTCATGACATGTCCTATTGTACCATTTGACATCATCAGTAATCATAGGCCACCAGAAACATAGGAGAAGGCAGGCACAGGTTGAATATACTCCCTTATGTCCAAGGTCATTGTGCACTTCCTTCAGGATGCAAAGGCAGCATGCTTCAGGGACTATCAATTGGTGCTTGCCTAGTGAGTTCTTTTGCCATAATTTTCTGTCAAGTATAAAGTACTGTACTGTGCTTTTGACAAATGACTGGTAGTCATTATCAGATAAGTTAGTGGGTCTTTTGCAGGTCTCTAGGAAGCGTTGGATTTCTATCATCCTTACATCTTGTGCTTTTGCAGCTTCTGAATGGGGGATGGTCAGGTTGGCAGGTTCAGGTTCTGCAGTACCTAGGAATGCAATGAGAGCAGGTGGATGGGTTAGTGGGTTTGGCATGGGTATGGTATATGGGTAGCACATGATATCAGCTCCTGCACCTGAAATTGCACAACTACAGTCATTTAGGATTTCGATGCTGAACAAGTATGAGTGGTCAAGCCAATCCTTGTGGTCATCATCCTCTGTGGGATCTAACTCTGCAGGTGGTCTCCTTGAGAGACTGTCTGCTCCAGTATGCTTGGAAGCAGGCATGTGAACAAGTGTAAAAGGAAATAACAATATACCTGCAATCCATTGGTTGATGGTTGTGTTAGGTTGGAGGTCTGGGTTATTGATCATGCCTTTTATATATTTTGTGTTAACCTCAACTGTTAGGTTGGTGACTCTGAAGATAAATATGCATACCGCGTGGAGCATGCAAAATAGGCTGTAAAGCTCTAGCTTCACTTGAGAGTAGCAGCTTTCAACTTCTGTGAGCAAAATTGAACTGAAGCGACTGGGATAGCATTTGCCGTTTTTGCCCATTTGAAGGAGTATGAACCCTATAGTGATGGAAGAAGTGTCAACTGCAAGGATAACTTCCCATCCACATTTGTAATTGAGTGATAGGAGTGTGGGAGACTCTAATATCAAGTCCTTCAGGGTCTGCATAGCTACCTGTTGTTCCTCATTCCATTTGAATGGTACATCCTTGCATGTGAGGTTGATGAGCAGGCATGCTTTCTTAGAAAAACCCTTGATAAATATGTGCAAGATGCCATAGGTACCTAGAAAGCCGTGCACTTCTGTGACAGTGCAGCATTCCAGCCAATTGCATATCTTTTGCACTTTGGAGTCTTCCAGTATGCACCCTTTGAAGGTGTATTTGTGCCCTACTATGATAGCAGTAGGTGCAGCTAGGACAAATTTAGTAGTGGATATGGTTACACCTACATTCTCCAGGCACTGGAGTATGCAGTTCACTACTATGCAATGCTCCCATATAAAACAATGTATTCCCAGGTTTTCCACTATGGTTTCATATGAGCTGTCAGCTCTTTGATAGCACATTTTGACTGATTTGATCAGGAGGTTATCAATAAATGGGGAGGTGTGCTTTGTGATCTTGTCCTGTAGAGCAAAACAGGAGTCACCTTGATATACTTGCACCACGTTCACATGCCCTTGCAGGAGCATTGTTAGCCAGTGTGGTCCTAGTGGTGTTCCAAAGGTTGTGAGGTCACGGGACTCCTCATGTAGTGCATGCTGATCGTAACCTGAATATAAGTCCATCATACCATATACCACATACCTGGCAAAAGATTCAGCTAATTGTTTGACAAAGGGAGGGAGTGATGAGTCTTGGATAGTTACCACATTCAGCGGTTGAAGATCATGTACTAATTGCAGTGATTTACCATCTTTCTTGACCATGCAAAACCACTGCAAATGGTAGGCTGCAGTTGATGGTTCATAAACACCAGACTAGATCTTCTCTTTGATGATGCAGATAACTTCTCCAAGGGTTGCCAGCAGTATGGGATATTGTGTTGAGACCAGGGAGTGTGCAGGATGGTAAGAATTTTGTAAGGAGGGAAATAGGTTTCATTGAGACAACCATGCTCGGTTGTGTCCCACGTGAATGCTAATTCATGTGTCTGGACAAGCCAGCATATAAGCTTAAGCTCTTCCAGCCATAACCAGTTAGCAGGGTCTAAGTCCAATTCATTTGCTCTTTCTTGGGTGAAGTGGACACCTGGGATGAAGTCAGGCAGGTGGGTTGGCAATTGGGGCATGCCAGCCAATGGGTTGTCAGGTAATCTTCTCGTGATTCTATACTCAGGCAGCATGGTGGTTTGAACCATGTGGACCTTCTTTGCGACCAGCTTATAAACCAGTGCATGTTGGGTTTTGTCGAAAAAATATACACTGTTAAATGTGTTGATGGATGTACAGTCAATAATCGAGCATGTAGATATGACATGATTATAGCATGGTGAGAACTGTGTGGATGAAAGAGAAAATAAGGCATGTTTGCTCCATAAGAGCAGGTATTGCATGGTTGGTGTGAGACAAAAATTAGAACCGGGAAATAATGTAGTAGGATGAGAAATAAGAGAGAGCAGTGGGTAGGAATTAATCTGTTTGTCTCCTCACATGTTGTGCAAATCATCAATCATCAAAAACCCTTCTTATGTGCACCTGAGGGAGCATGTGTGCCAGCCTTGCAACCTGGACATTTCTTTACCCAATGCGTGGTAGGAATGCATATTACCTTCCCTGAATTTGGGTCCATTAGCATGATGTCCTGGTCTCCATTAGGAAGATCTTCTGCATGGCAACTGGTGAGCATAAAGAATGGGTGCCC